GTTGATTTGCGGTTTATCGGTTGAAGGAACACTATTATTGTTATGATAATCACATTCTACAATAATGTAATTTACTTAATTTATTTAAATAATTATTACAAATATGCAGAGGTATTCGGTAGCAATTTGCTTTTCTGTATTAATGTTCTATGTACTCGTGTAATTTTTTATAATCTCTTTGCTGCTATCTTTTTGTATTTATTATTGCGTTTTTATGTTCTCTTGTGCTGTATCTGTAATTGGCCTTCTGGCTGTTGACACAGCACATTAATAATGAAGAATTTAATTGAATTAAATAATGAAAAGTCGATGACTACGATAGGCTAGACAAGTAGGTACCATGGGTGATCTAAGAAAATTACCACTTAGAAGACCTCGAAGGAACGAGAGGAAAACATTAAAGTGGATCATAGGGTGGTAACTTGCTGAGGTGGAAGGTAGATGGAACTGGTTCACGATTTTGTCTAGTGGCGGTCTGTGGAATTAGCGGTGTTGCCACTTCGGGTTTGCTACCAGATAATTAGCTGGTTAAATATTGATGTCCACTGTTAAATCACAGGACGGAGAGATGGGCAGAAGGTTTCAGCTGGTTAACAGAGTTCCGAAGATGGAACACTTTTCCTTTGGGATATTACGTAAGCCTCATCAAGCCAAATGTCTTCCGTAGATCAGTAATTCAGAATTGATCGTCAGACTACAAAGACGGGTCTCGAGTTTTGTACTTAGGCCCATAAGTACACATTGGTATGTTTTTAGAGGCAGGTGTAATAATTTCAGTTGTATAGGATAGTGATCTACACTCGATAAATTTAGTTTAAATGTGGACCGCCAGATTGTGTCTCTAAAGCAAAAGTTTCAATGTTTCATTAATCTCGCTTGTAATTTTATTATCACTTTTGAACGAAAACTATACCAGAGGGAATATTAGAGTTGAAGGTAGTTTAATTTTAAAATAACGTAAGACGTAAAATAAATGTGAACTTCCACAACAAATATAAAGTATGTTTAGACATCAACATTTCAAATCTATGAAACATGCTCGATTGTTTACAAATATTGAAATAAAGAAGTTCTAACTTTCAGCTTTAAGTACAAACAAAAAAAGTATGTTTCAATTTTGGATCGCTTGCATACAGGGATCGTGTGTTCGAATCTCACTTAAGATATGGCATATTTGTCCTACAAAATACCGAAAATATTCATAAATTCAGTAGTTCCCAATTTGACCATGTTAATGAGATTGTCTCTCTTTAGAGCACCACGATTCATAGCCGCAAAATCACCACAGAGTTGGAGATAAGTTTAGGTTTTTGATTCAGGAAGAAAATAAATATAATTTTTTTGGCGTACGTCTGGCGTTTTGTCTTAAATTCCTTACCGCTCAAACATAATGAGTAATGAAGTTTGCTCGAGCGACCAGACACCTCGGTACGGAGAACAGAGGCAGACGAGGTTTTCAGAACATGTTTTAAGACGAGGTTTATCGCTTGAGACTTCACTGTATTTGGTCACCGCGTGTGGTTTCGCACCAAAATTGGACACCATTTGAAAGAAGCCCAAAAAAAATCAACTGGAAAGTAAGTAAGAGAGTAATCTCTTTTGAACAGAAACTTTCTTAAGACTGGCTGACACTGTGGTGACTTACAAGATTAAATAAATGATATTTGGTGTTTCTACAACAGTGAAAGTTTATGTAATATTATTATTATTGCATCTATTCACCATTTTACAGGATATTTATTTCTATGTACCTGAGACAAACCTTGCCTCTGAGGTACATAGTGCAGCAGCAGTTTTGTAATACATTTTGTTTTTAATACGTGTTATATGTTTTATACAGTCCACGACTGTAATCTTGAGACTTGCAAGGAATGCAGGAAGTCCGTAGCGTTAAAGGTAGACGCTATCTTTACTCCTTCACCCCACATCCTCAACCCGCAAGTCTCAAGATTACAGTCGTGGACTGTGTATATATACATATTTATTTATTTATTGTGATCCATGACTATATATACTATATATTTTACATCAATTATTATTATTATTCAGTTGAAATATTATTATTATTATTGTTTTTATTTGCTGATGACTTAAAGATATATCGGAGTATTAGCGATGTTGATGACTGCAAACTGTTGCAGGACGACATCCATTCAGTGCAAAATTGGTGTCTTGTGAATGGGATGCAACTTAATTTAAGTAAAACGACTGTTATATCGTTCACCCGGAAGACAAACAGTATTTACTTTAATTACAAATTGTGTAACAACCTGGTGGCACGCTCCCATTGTGTTAAAGATCTCGGTGTTCTACTGGACTGTAAGCTTTATTTTCACCAGCATATCAACTATATATTCTCACAAACCTTAAAAATGCTAGGTTTGATTCGGTACATTACTTCTTCCTTCTCCACTATTGACAGCCTTTTGGTCTTGTACAGTACCTTAGTCCGTTCCAAAATTGAGTATGCTTCCGTTGTTTGGAACTCTATTACTAATACTGACTCCTTTAAATTGGAAAGGATTCAAAGGAAATTTGTAGCTCTATGTTACGCTAGATTCTTTAATGGCGTTTGTGCCTATAATTATGATGATATATTAGTCAGATTAAATTTCTTATCGTTACATTTAAGGAGGTTTTTGGATGCGCTTTTCCTCATCAATGTTTTTAAAGGCAAAATTAGTTGCTCATCTGTATTTGATACAGTTAGTCTCTGCGTACCCACTAGGTCTATCAGAGACTGCTCTATCTTTACTGTACAACGTAATTTCAAGGCCAGTCCCTCTGCCAGATGTGTTTCTGCTGCCAATGCAGTCTGCAGGAACATCGACATCTTTAACAAAGATCGTGCTTTGCTTACTGATGTCAGTCAGCTTTTTAAACAATAATCATTGTTTTTATTGTTTATTTAGTATAACATTTTATTTTGTATGTTGTTTGTCCAAAATTAAACTGTTTTTAGTTTAATTATTATTTTACTTATCTATAACATTTAGTTTTTTAGTTATGAGTTATTTTGCAATAAATCAATATTGTACATTTATGTTTTCAGTTCATTGTTTGTTTGCTTTTGTTTTGTATTGTTGTCTAGTGCTTGGCTGTTATTGCCCTTTTTGGCTGTTGTCAAGCACTTTAATAAATGAATTGAATTGAATTACTATTACTATTTTGCAGACCTTGCAGTAAAGTAAATTGTTACCAATGTTTAGGGGAGAACCTACTGGTTCCTTGTTAAAGTTATTCAGATAGGCTATTTAACAACGTCATTATACCTAATCCACACAAAGAATTTAACTAGGGTCACAGTCATCTATTATCACAACCGTTTAAACCCGAAAGATTTGTACGCAGTTGTGCTAAACGGTTAACACATTATGTCAGTCTAAAATTTGTATCTGAACAAATATTTTTAAGTAGTTTGGTACTCTGAATGAATTAATTAATTCAGTTATTCTGTTACGACTCGTACCATCTCACTCTTGGTCTGCTCATATACGTCTTTTTTGTTATGCTTTTACGTTTGGCATTATTTGTTCTTCAGTATTCTTACCCTTTATTTCATCTTATGAAACTTGTACCCCCTTCCATTTAGAAGTGTCTTGTTTAAAGTTTTACTAAACATATTTCTGTGTTACTGTCCACAAGTGATAGATGGCAATACTTGTCTCTCAATATACTTGCTTGAAATTGAAGCCAGTGTTCCTTTACTAATCAATCTTGCAGTATTGGGGTTTCAATATTTATATAATC